AGAGACAGAGAGACAGAGAGATGACATTCAGTGATCACCAGAGCCAGACTGCTGCTGGAAAGTGTTTTAATGGTGAGCTTGGACCTGCTGATGAGATTGTGTCATGGGCCGTCACCACCAAAGGCCACTGCGGGTTAATAACGTCCCCTCAAGATGGTACATGAACTGTCCCGTCACGCCACACACACACATTCAGCTGAATACACACTTACTCAGACATGCCCACACACATATCTACAAACAGTACATGGTGACAGTTAACAATAAGAAACTAGCTGGAGATGGTATATCTTCCTCTCAATAACAGATGCATACAAAACAGCAAAGATGGGAAATAAAGTATTTCTGACTCTGATTCTGGAATGATTAAGTATTTAAATGGTGAAGTCTCTTGCTGAAGCAACAACTTGTAAAATACATGTAATATTTAAAACAATACAGACGGTCTGCACATTAATTCATAAGAAATGTGTGTAAAATCTCTGTGTTTTGATGAACTTGTGCCTGCTGGTCAGGCTGCATTCTGTGTTTTCAGCCTAACAATGACACCACAACATCCCCAAATGTCATGCACCATCTCACTCATTAGTTTATGCCTGAGAAAACTCCCTCCATATTTTTTTTTCCCTCCTGTGCGCCATTCTGGGCTGCATCCTTCTCATACGCCTCATTGCCACTAGCGTAAGTAATATCCAAAGAGCAAGAAGGACAAATACATATTGAAATAAATTCATGGCTCAGAGAAAATTACATTTTAACATTGTGTTGATTTTCATAGCCAGTGCAAAAATATCAGCCTATAAAAAGTATTCACTTCCCTTTCATGTTTTATTGTCTTACAACAATGAATCAAGATTGATTTAATGTACCTTTTTGACCCTCATCAGCAGAAGTCACATAGCCACGAAGATGTGTATTCTTGTAGTACACTGAAAACTCAGATCCTAGTGAGCTAGCAAGAAGGAGACTAGTAAGTCATTATAAAGGTATTATAAAGCTCTCCAGTCATTTTAGGTGGGGTTTTTTTGTAACCTGCGTTAATTGGTTGGTTAGCTGGCGACGTGGAAGTAACAAAAACTGCCCACTTGAGGCTGGCTACAGAAGTGAGTCAATCTCCATAAGGTCCCATATTAAAATACCAAACTTTACAGCAGAAATAAACATGTTAACAGCCTGGTACAAAAAAGATTTTGGTCTCTAAATTTCCCGTTCAGGCTTCATTGAGCTCTTCCCACACTCCATGTATCTGCCCATTTTTGGATTAGCCGGGAGCTGGCAAAGCCGACCTTTGGCGACTACAATAAGCTTTACAACAGCTCCTTGGACACTAATGGGTGACGTCACGAAGACTACGTCCAATTTTAATTATACAGTCTGCAGATTCCGCTTAAGTATTTGTTTGTTATTGCCCCAATATGATTCTGAGAAAACATGTGAGTACATTCTGATGCACACAAGCTCTCCCAGTACTTTTAACTGCCTGTGACACAAACATGGGGGAGGAATGGACATGTTGCAGCGTTGAAGGAGGGGAAATATGGTTGCAAATGTTTTTTTTAGCCCTCACTTTTAGACATTACTCATCTAATGGTTTGCTAATGAATATGTGGGCTCTCTGTTTTCATGAAATTTGCCAAAAAACAACAACACTCAATTAAACCCACCTCTGTTGGTAATTCATTGTTCAGTTTTGCGTGTATTTGTTGGTCTCAGATAGTATCTGACATTCATTTATCTGATTTTTAATTTTAATGGATTTTCTGTTAAAGTTTAGTCTTTGTTCTTAAATAAGTGGAATTTAATGTCATTATGCGGTGTACTGTAACTGATCATCAACCAGATTGTTTTATCTTCTACCAGTATTGACCAAACTTTGAAAGCAATCTTATTGTAGGGGGAAAAAACCTGGTGAAGTTATTGAAAGTGCTTCCATTATTTGTGCAAAGTAATCTCACCGGGCTGTTAGTCTGTCTCCTCGAGTTAGTCATCTTTCATAATGTTGTCCTTAATTAGTTCCTTCCGTTTTCTAACTAATTAACATGCTCAAACGTTTGCTGTGTTTATGAACACAGATGATTGACTTTGCAAAAAGTTATTTCAATAACCTGGTTTTGCAAGTCAACATCCTGTCTCGATAATGGTTGTAACGCAGTAACATTGCAGGGAATGAACAACCTGATTAAGATGGCTGATTGCTGTAGTGTTTTCTGCTTTTCTGCCTGTGAAATGAACAGTGCAAATGGGACCATCATCATTACTCTCCTTTTGTCAGATACAACTAAGTGAAAAAGAACATGTCTGACTGAATTTTTTGTTTTTTTTGTGAGGGTGGATTTATGGTCTCATATGTATGTGAAGTTGCCAGTAATGAAGTACTATAGTGCATCTCTGATGTGGTGAAAATCTACTTTGTGTTTAATAAATAATTTTTACGTTTCACCTATCAAAGTTGACCTTTGATAGTGAATTCCAAATCACAATTTGATATGAAAACAGCTGTACAGCCACTGTGCATTTCCAATGAGGCGTCATTTGCATTTTATATTCCTTTTCTGTTATCTAAAGGGTGAACTACTGAAGCCTTGCAAAACATCCAATGACTTTTCTTGTCTCATTGTGTTTTGGTATGGCAACTAATCAGCTGGATTGAGATTGTTGTATGTTCAATAGTTGAATGACATTTCTTCCTTTTACTCACACATGGGTGAAACTTTCCTATCTGACTTGCAAACACCCCATTCACTGGATTATCATTGCAGTGGTAAAACATATGGTAGCTGTATGAAGTTTCACAGTCTCACTTTACAGTGCAAGATCTGAGAGTCCAGGGACCCGCTGATCTGTGCGCATAGAATAGAATGCCTTTATTGTCACTATACACATGTACAATAAAAACAGTGTAAGAAATATAAAAAATATACAGTATAAACATAGGACATAAAGTAATAGTGCAAGGCTGGATTACCAAGATCCCCAGGAGTGCCTGTATTCACTGTGTGGCAATTAATTTGTGGTAATCTGATTAACTGTCGTTTCGTAGATGAGAATATGGAAAATCACTCTAAAGCGCTATATCAACTGAAGTCCCAAAGCATCTTGTTGATGGTTTTGTTTTGTTCATGCCCGATGGATTCTTGCCAATGCCATTAGGAGCACTAGAAGGAGCTAGACAAACCTGAATTTCTCACAGATTATCTGTCTCGTGTACTACTGTCGGGATATAGAGAAAGCAAATATGACAAAAAGGTATTTTTATAAAAGTCACCCACTGCGGCTTTAAGCTAGGTCCTGTTTGATTACCTGATCTGGAGGCCCTATCTTAAAAAGGATCCATGTGTGAAAATCTAGCTTTGAGGTGGTACTGATACACCACAAACTGAACTTGCAAGATAAATGACTGAAGGAAATCTTTTAATCATAGAACAGAATAGAAAGCAGTTAATATTTGCTTCACATCAACAGCTTATATAAGAATTCATCAGCGATAACAATCCAATAATATCTTATTATATTTTGCCATCTACTACTTCTAGAGTAAAATTATGAAAGCAGGACTTTGACTTGTAATGAAGTAATTTTACCCTGACAGATTTCAATTCTTCATCCAGTGTAAATTGCAGACATTTCAGTAATTTCTTAAAAATTTACTCTTACATACCAGCTTGCTTTTAGAAAATAGTTAGGACAATTTCCATCGGAGTAAACTGCAGGACCCATAAAATAAAGCATTACCTGTGACCTTCTGTGTATAAAATAGATGTCAACCCCTTCTCTCTCTGTCTTTTTCTGTCATCCACAGGGTGTAGGTGCTGACCCACACATTGCCCTGGCTCTGCCACCCGAATCCAAGGTGGCCAAAGAGAAAGCGGAGGAGCCCTCGTTCCAACTCCTGGACGAGGAGATGAGCATCAGGATAGGTAGAGCTGGACCTCTCTCAGGCAAGCCTCCCTTCATATACCCACATCAACTATTGCAATTTGTGCACAGATTTCAGGAAAAAAACGGGTTTATTACACGTCATCAAAAAAAGCATACCAGCACTACAGCTGTAGCCACTGAAGTCCCATTTTATTTGCATCTGATCCAAAGGGAAAATCAAGTTGCAGGCACTGATGCATAATAATGAAGAGGGACTGCATTGGCTACCACTGTAAAATCTTATCTGGAATTTCTCTGATGGCTTCTTTTCAATTTCCTGATTTTGCTTTTTGCTGTTGGCTTTTCTCTGTCTACCTCATCTGTCCATCTGTTCCACTTATTGGGTGTTTTCCTAACTTTAAATGCTGTTTCAATCTGGATAGCTCTTAAGAAATGATCATCGGTGTGTTTTCTCGGGTTTGGGACACTAACCTTTTCTGCATGCAACTGTCTCACACATTACGCACATTAAGTCACATACATACATGTACTGTAAAACACAAACATTGTCACGCTTGTCTAGAGTGCTTTAGAATTTGCAGGCTTTTATTGACATTTTCTGTCTGTAAGACAACAAACAAACTCATTTAGGGCTTGTGACACGGTGAAGCCGAGGAGTTAATAAACACATCTCATCTTCCGTCAAATAAATGAAAGATTATAGCAGGATGGGCAATTACATGCAAACTGCATAAGCATCTACAAAAGAGGGCAACGTGGTAAAACATTTTAGAACAAATAAATGCAAGTTTCCACAAATCAAGTGGAAAAATAGATAATTTTTTTTCAAAGAAGCCAGTTGTGTGTATGTGTGTTTGAGTGTGTTAGCACACTGATATTGTTTGTTTGTGGCAGATAAATCAATGTTGTTTCCTCGCCTCACTGGCTGGCAGTATATTAGATACAATGACATCTTACCTGCTGACTGGCTCTCAGTGAGAATATTAAGTGGCTCTGCATCATACAATCTCTTGATTCTCAACCCAGATTATACGCAAGGATTAGCAATGCAAATAGTGAAAACTGTAAATTAAACATGTTGACCAGAGAAAAATGTTTCTGCCTGGTGTTAGTTTCATAGTGTTAGAAGACTAAGTTAGGGTGCACACCTGTAGTGTGGTTCATATTTAGAAAGGCTTTCTACAAACCAGGAAGTGAAGTCAACATGAAGTCATGGACTTGCATTTATACAGCACTTTTGTGTTCTACCGACCACTAAAAGTGCTTTACCTCACTTCTCTCATTGACCTGTTCACGCACGCATTCATACACTGGTGGCAAAGGTTGCCATGCAAGGTGCCAACCTGCTCATCAGGAGCTATACAGAGCTTCTTATCCAGAAGCGCTCACGATGATGCTGAGCTCACGCATACTTTGGGGTTCAGTATCTTGCCCAAGGACACTTTGGTGAAGCCAGGAATAAAACCAACTACCCTCTGGTTATTACACAACCGACTCTACCATCTGAGCCACAGCCATTATATAGTTTGGTGTACCATTAAACTACTGCGATAAATTCAAAAATGTCTACCTTCCATCCAGTGAAACTAAATATTATTTGATGGAAAACAAGTTTATGTTCCAAGGCAAAAAGCAAGTAGGAAGAAAACTTAAAATACCAGTATGTGTGTGAGGGGGGTAGACAACCCGAGATGGGATTAGGTCTAATTTATAACCAACAGGTATAACCCCCATCCCACTCCCTCTAGTTTTAGTTGGTAGTCTAAGGTTTTTTTTACTGGTAAAAAAAAAAAGCAAAAGAAAAGCAAAATAATTCCTCTGGGATATTCTAGACATATCTGACTTGTGCAAATTTACTAAAAAAAATTCAATTTGAAAGGCAGCAGCATTGATTTTTCAACTCATATTCCACCGTATTTAGTAAACAGAATATTTCAGATTCTAAGATAGTTTTTAATATACAGGGGATTTTTACAATATACAGGGAATGAATGGACTGTAGCAGCAGGAGCCTGCATGCAAAAATAGTTTTTCCTTCGCATTTTTGTCTCTAATTATGTAACGTAATAGACCCTTTTCCCCAGCAAATATTTTGACACAGCAGGAACAGCACAAGTGGAACTAACAGCATTAACAATGGCTCCGTTCCAATCAAATGTCCAGTCAGCCACCTCAACGAGTCAGCATACACAAGAGCAGGGCTCTGAAACTTAAATGGGAACTTCCTAAATGGGAATGCTTTTACTGCTAGCATGCAGAACTGTCTGTTTTCAAAAAAAGCTTATTGCTAAGTTAATTTATGCAGACATAGGTCAGTGTTAGATAGCAGCCTGAGCATTGCCGATTAAACGGTTTAGGTATTTTTTGATTGTCAATTCCTTTGTGACTGCAAATGCTGTCTGAGTCATTTTATCTGAGTCACTACTACTCGTCATTTGCATTATTGTCACTGTGACCTCACATTAAAGATGATGGTAAAGACATTTTTCCATCATTTGAAATCACCGGGGAGTTTGGCTGGGCACTGACGCAAGAGCTGTTGTCAGGTAAAGCTGCAGAATGTCAGATGTGAAGAAAATTCAGTGAAAGGTCTTGAGTTGCTTTGATGTTATTTTCAGGGACATATCACAGTTAGCAGCTGGAGGTGCTCAACTGAAAAACAAAGGCAGAAAGAAACTCTTGAAAACTTGTTAAAATTGAAGGAACTTCAAGTTTGCACTCAGACAAAGGAATAAGATGCATATTCCTGAGCAGATAGAAGGGCATTGTTCTGAAGAGCTACAATTCAAATAATATTTCAAAACCCTCGAAAAATAATATAGTATTGTCAAACATGGCCATGAGTCCCAGCTTCCCTCATTGTTACAGTCATGGTACATTTTCCTGCAGCTCCAAAGCACACAGACTGAATGTATATTTCAGACGACCTTCTACAGATTAGTTACAAATTTCATTGCATCCCTGTGGCTTGCCTGAGGGCGTCCGAGGCGAGTCGCCAACACAGTAAACAGAAATGTGCACACATATATATAAATCAGTTTGATTCCCTTGGGAATCACATTGTGTTATAAATCCCTGCATGTTTGACTGTGCTATCCAGAGTGCCGCATATCCAATCTGCTCTACACAGAGAAATATGAAAGTAGGAGTCATATTTCCTGGTGCCTGTGTAACTCAGTCTATTATGCTGTTTATACATCAAAAACAGTGAATGTTTTATCTAAAAAAAAAAGGCTGAACTGCCATACTGTGATGGAGTCAAACGGCTCCAATAGAATAACTGGGGCTTAACTGACACTTTTAAGCCTTGATTTCACGCTGGTCCCTCAGAAATATATATAATTCAATTCAATTCA